CTTGAGACAGTTTTTCTTAAAACAAAATTTTGTCTCCCTTAAGGTCGTTTCCCTTGAAACAACAAATATCTTTGAGATCGTTTCCCTTGAAACAAGTTCTGTCTCTTTTGAGACAATTTCTCTTGAAGCATCATCTGAACCGTTACACTCAGCTCAGGCACATACTTGAGATGGTCGAGAAGCATTTCTCAAATCAAAAATAGAATGTGCACATCAAATTTGAACATTTGAAGAATTCAAGATCAGGGATCAAAATTTGAAGATTCAAGAATCAAGATTCTAGACAGGCAACTAGAGATCGAGATTTCTCTCCAGAGCCCCAAGATAACATATGTTGCATATGCATTTTAGGCACACCTAAGAGCATTGCATCCATAGCATCACATATATGCATAACTTTTTCAGGTTTTAGTTAGAGTTAATTTCAACTTCGCGGCGAATGATATTGAACTCAAAGCGACACAATTTGCTCGAGAGTGGATTTCAACTTCACGACGAAGGATATCTAGCTCGAAGCCAAACTTCACAATAAAGGGGTCTCCACGGTTTCAACTTCACGGCGAAGGGAATTGTGTCCACCCGCAACATACAATACTTGGATTTCAACTTCACGACGAAGGATATTCAAGTCAAGGCTCAACTTCACAACGAATGGGCCATCTGCGATTTCAACTCCACGACGGAGGATATCGTGGCACTCGAGACAACACAAGTTCAACTTCACAACGAAGGGACGACTGGTTGTCAACAAACAACTTCTCAATTTCAGAGCCAATTTCAACTTCACAACGAAGAATATTGGACTCCAGACAACGCAAGTTCAACTTCACGGCGAAGGGACCGCTGCCTGTCAACAACAACTTCTCAATTTCAGAGCCAATTTCAACTTCACAACGAAGGATATTGGACTCCAGACAACGCAAGTTCAACTTCACGACGAAGGGACCGCTGCTTGTCAACAACAACTTCTTAATTTCAGAGCCAATTTCAACTTCACAACAAAGGATATTGGACTTCAGACAACGCAAGTTCAACTTCACGACGAAGGGACCGCTGCTTGTCAACAACAACTTCCCAATCTCAGAGCCAATTTCAACTTCACAACGAAGGATATTGGACTCCATACAATGCAAGTTCAACTTCACGACGAAGGGACCGCTTCTTGTCAACAACAACTTCCCAATCTCAGAGCCAATTTCAATTTCACAACGAAGGATATTGGATTCCAGACAACGCAAGTTCAACTTCACGACGAAGGGACCGCTGCTTGTCAACAAAATTTCATTCAGATTCAATTTCAACTTCACAACGAAGGATATTGGACTCGAGACAACACAAGTTCAACTTCACAACGAAGGACGACTGGTTGTCAACAAACAATTTCCCGGTTCCAGAGCCAATTTCAACTTCACGACGGAGGATATTAGACTTGGAACAATGCTACTTACTTGGATTTCAACTTCACGACGAAGGATATTCAACTCAAAGAAAGATTATCTGACATCAAAATTGTCGAGTTCGACTCCATTCAGCTCGATGACACATCAATCACACTACTTTCCGGTTGCAGTCGAGGTTTTCAAGTCGAGAAGAGGACCTGGGTTAGCCGTGCCTTAGTGACAAGCAACCATTTTCAAACAGCATAGCTTAAGTCAAGAAAAAGCTATCTGTCAATGAAGATTTCTGAGTTCGATTCCGATCCAAGGTCTTTAAACCGAGAAGAAGACCGAAGGGTAACGGGAAGCCACGTGCAGATTCAAATTCCGAACTACGGCTTTAATTTCATATCATTTCAAGATGAACTCGACTTCACAATGGAGGAGTCATCCGTAACTCAATTCGACAGGGAGTTATTGAAACATCAGAGTTAATTTTCAACTCCACTGAACGAAAAGTGTGTCTTTTAATCTTTGCCCTATCCCCGTTACACGACTATGGGCAAAGAGGGGCAGCTGTCAACACACATTTTTCGTCCTACTAGGATTGAAACTCCTAAAAATAGGATAGAATTTTAGGATTCAAACTTCTAAAAATAGGATAAAATTTTGCTAGGATTCAAACTCCTAAAAATAGGATAGAGTTCTACTATTATTTAAATTCCTAAAGATAGGATCCACAAGCACTATAAATAGCCATTGTAACTCACCATTGTAAGACACGATGGGCATACGAAATTACCAGAAAAAAATACGAGCAAATAGATTGTTTTGAAGCTATTGTAAACAATTTAGGAGCAATAAAAGGTGAAAGCTTTTACCTTTCGCATTCTTTTCTTCACTTGCATGTGTTGTTATTCGTCTTTGTGCTTGAAAAAAAATAGTTTTGGCCGAGGAAAAGGGGTTGTCGTTCGAAACTTTTCTTTTAGATCTACACAACCCCGAGGCCGTTTTGGAAAAATACTAGAATATTTAAAACGAGGGAAGGAAAGGATTTTAAAAATCATTTTTTCGAGGTTTGTCGCCGATGAACGGTCCCTTATGTATTATTTTCATATTTTTATTTATTTCTTTTTGATAATTCGTATTATTAAGTATATATATATATTAATTATTTTTATTCTAATATTATTTTAATGTTTTTTAAAGTTATCATATATATATATATTTATAACTATTATATTTATTATTATTTTACTATTAATGTATATAAATATATTTTTCTCTTTTGCTACTATTATTATTTTACTATTAACGTATATAAATATATTTTTCTCTTTTGCTACTATTATTATCATTATATGTATATTTTTTATTGTATTTTATTTTTTATTTTTACTTTTTTTTAAACATATGCATATATATACATTTAATTATATTTTTATATTTTATACTTCTTTATTTTTTGTTTTCATGTATTTATATTATATTACATTATTATTATTTTACTTTATTAAATTATTTTTTTTTCGTTATTATATTTATTATATATATATATATATCATAATGTTTTTTTTTGTTTATTCATTCTTACTATATTATAGGGATACATCACACTCATTTATTAACTACGGTCCTACCCCTTATCGTCTTTTTCCTTCCCGACAGTTATACTTCACCAAACCTTGACTTTCTTTTTTTACTTTCTTTTGGTGTGATTGCGTTTTTTTATTTTACTACTTATTATCATTATTATTATTTTGCACTTAATAATTATATATTTTTATTCCTCTTTTAGTTTTTCATCATTTTTTTTTATTTTTTCCCTTCTATTTTCTTTATTTCATTTACTCTTATTTCCTTTTTACTTTAACGCGTTTCTCGACTTTTTAAGGGTACTCTTTCAAATTGATTGGAGGTAAGTAATTTTGGATCATATGTTACCTTTAAATTTTAACTTTCGATTTTCTTAATTAAAAACAACTGGAAATTACATAGTACCGAAAGGGCGGTTCAAGGGTGCTAATCCTTCCTTGACCGTAACCGACTCCCGAATCCGACATATCTTTGGTAAGACGCAGATCAGGTAAGATATAAGGTATCCGATTAACCTATTTTTTTTAAATAAATAATCGGTGGCGACTCCAATCCATTTTCCTAAGTCGAAGCCCAATTCCGGGGCCCAACCGAAAGACGGTTACGACAGTAGGGTCGAAATATTATACTATTTAAGAAAAATATAAAGATTTATTAAGTATTTAAACTCGAAATTCAACATGAACCAAGCGACCTTAGTGATTAAGGGATTGTTGTTATCATTGAGGTCCCGAGTTCAAGCACATATGCAGGGGTATGAGCTTTCATTGTCAAATACTTGAAAGTCTTTGTACATATATTACCTTGTATTCACCCTAAATTAAAAAAAACTCAAAAGACAATTTCTAATTTGTTATAATATTTAAACTTACAATGACTTAAATTGTAATTCGACCAAAAATTTGAGAACTCAGACTTGTCATTCTTTAGTTCGACCGCTTCTTGATTAAATATTTAATAAATTTTTATATTTTTTAAATTTAAATATTTATTTTTACATGAACCAAAATACTATTAAACTAAAATTATATTGAATATATAAATTTTAACAGGGGTCGGGGGGCCCTTGGGCCCTAAGGAGCTATGTAATAATAGATTTTAATGTATTTTACTATTAAGAGATCGAAGTATTAAACACATTTTATTAAGAACATAACACATAATTTTGTCTTTAATTTTTATCTCTCAATTTATTATTTTCTTATAAATTATCTTGTAATCATTTTAAATTATTCAAAAAAAATTATAAAGAAAATTAAAAGACTAAAAAAATCAATGGAATATACATAGGAGCTTTGGAATTTGGAGTTTTTTTATTGGTATGCATGTGTATCCTATTGGATTGAGTGATTTTTTTTTAAATTGATGATGTTGATAAATTATATTTTATTATTTAAATTTTGGGTAAATTATATAAATAGTGTCCCTACTACAACATGTTACTTTGTCGAGTCTCTCAATTATTAAAAATTACAGAATAATCTCTCAATTGTAAAGTATTACTCTGTTGAGTCTCCAAACTCGTCCTTTATTGTTAACCTGTTGACTAAGATATGATAGTCATTTGTGATTTTGAAATTAGATTTTATCACATAACAGCCAACAAGTTAACATCTAGCTCATATTGCCTTCAAATTTTAACAAAAAATAATGAATCTGGAATATATAAATAGTCGAGTGATCATTTTGTAACTTCTAATAGTCGATGGACTCAACAATGCAATATCTTATAGTGAAAGGACCGTTTCTAACTTTTAATAGTCGAAGAATTTAACTTTATAGTCGGGATTCGTTTGTGTACTATAACTAAATTTTATTTAATTTATTAAAATTAAATTAAATATATTTATTTTATTATCAAATTTATTTATAACATCATCAAATAAATTCTTAACTTCTATATATATATATGAATCCAATTTTAAAATTTAAACTTGTTATATTACAAGAATGATTTCTTAAGTTTTACTTGAGTTGACATTATATTTTGATTAACTGCACACCAACCATCATGCTCAAAATGCCCAATGTATTGTTCCCCCTTAACAAGACTAATTTTCTCATTGAGTGTAGAGCTTGCATCATCCATGATTACCATATCCAAAAGTTGTTAAGAGGAAAGCATCACATATAGAAAGATCAGTGACGGTTTCAAATTCAGCTTCAAAGTTGGCATCAAAGAGTGCGATGGATCGGAAAGAGCATCTCTCCAAAGGAAACGAGAACATCAAACGAACATCGTCTACGAGATGAATAAAAGAAGAAGAGAGTATTTTCAACTGCAATAAGTAGACTAAATTACCAACAAGCTTCTTAGCAAGTGCTGCAGGAAGGCCTTCCTGCATGTCTCAAGTGCCTGCCAATACAATGAAGCATTATCGAAAACAAAGGTTACAGATTCGTTAATCGATGAATATAGCATGTCATAGTGATTTGTGTTAAGATTTTAAACAGTTTATTTACTTGACAGAAAGGTTCATGAAGTATTTATTCCCATCTAAATCTGACAAATAAAAAAATAAAACAAAAATCATGGAAGATTGTTCATCTGTTGATCTAAATGAAAACATCAGACAGGACATATGAATCAGTCCTTGAAAAGGAAAAAGAAAAGGCCTGGAGAAAAATACCTATACCCTTGAGAATTGATTGAGAGAATATAGTCAGAGCAACTGTCTAAACTTTTTCTGATATGCTCAACGGTGTATGTTGTCGGCCATGGAGGTTCTTTAGCTTTGTAAGTTGCTTCCTCCTCTTTCTCGCCTCGGAGGCAGCCACTGCATCCAGTACTTTCTTACTTGTATAATCTGTTGATTCTTGATCAGCCCCCGGCAATGCACCACCAAAATCAAATGCTCTTACAGGAGCCTCTTCAGTCTTGACATCATGATTTGTTTTATTCTCCAGTTGAGCAACAAATGAAGTCCCTGCAGAACACAGAGGCGTAGGCACAAAGACCTCTTCTTTAATGTGGAACAAACACTGATCACCTCCATCGACAGGAAGCCCAGCCGGAGTACAATTCAGGTTATTAGGACCTTTTTCAACTTCTACAGGTAAAGAGGAATTATATTTCTCCTCTTTTATGACAGGTTTCGAAGAACACACAGCATTACAACAATTACTCACAGAATTTTCATCTTCCATATCTTTTAAGCCACGAGAAGGCAGATGATGCAGTCCACTCTGATTATAAGGAAGTGTAAAGAACCAAGGATAAGGCACTACATATAGGGCGGTCTTGGGGCCATTCACGTCTACGGGATTTTCTTGATTAAAAAATGAATCAAACCTACCATTAGTTAGCGATGAAATGCTAGATGGGAAAAAATTGGCATGTTGGTGCCCATATTGTGATTGAACAGGATGTGAAGGCGTAACACTGGACGGCCAACAAAAAGGGGGGAAAGGATGTTGGTTGTAAAATGAATATGGATAGTTTCTAGATGCACCAGAAATCTGATGGTCTAACTTAAGTTCCGTGCAGATTTTCCTTTCCTCAGCTTTCATTGCCTTAGCCATCTGCAGAAAAATATATTTCGAAAAGGAGTATTTTCAGGACTAAGATTGTCAAATAGGTAAAGTAATTTCAAAATCAACGATAATATATGTTACCACAGCCTTCAGGTGCTCATTGGTGCTCTCTTGAGACTGATACTCTTTTAGGGCCAACTCTTTTTCCTTCGCAGTAGGAATGTAATCAAAAGTGAATAAGCTACCATGCGATACTAACATAAATTCAATAACAAACAAGAAATTCATAAGGGCTAGGACCTAAAAACTTTGAGCATCTGTAACTACTAGAATAATAGATATACTCTTCCACTTGAAAAGGTCAAGTAGAAATAAAAAGTATATAAAAGGCACTATCGGTTTTTTAATGTTTAATATCGATGGGTCTATGCAGGCTGAAGGAAGCGGGGGAGGCATCGGGGGAATTTTGAGGGATTCCATCGGTAGTTCGCTGTTTTCATTCTCGATTCCTATAGGGCGAGGGTCTTCGATTCTGGCAGAAATATTAGCAGTGGAGCACGCGGTGAATTATTTTACCGGCTCTACTTGGGTCAATTCATCGGGCCTTATTCTAGAATGCGATTGTAAATCGGTTGTGAAATGGCTTAAAAACCCGGATTTGATTCCTCCCGAGTGGGAGGGAGTCCTTAGACCGGTAGCAGAGACTGTTTTTAAAGGAAATTTCTTAATTAAACGCATTCCTAGAAGCAGGAATATAGCTGCAGACTCCCTGTTCTCTGGTTAAATTTGGTTTAGTGTTTTAGCTTGGCTGTGATGTTCTTGGGGTGAAGCTTTGTTCTGCTTTCGGCCTGCATTGGGTGTTTTAGGCTGTGTTGTTCTTTGGGAGCAGCTTTGTTTTGTAATGGCTTTGCTCGGGTGCACTCTTTTTCCTCCACATAGGGTCAGGGAGGTTTTTTAACGAGGTTCTTAACTTTGAGGTCGTGGGATCGAGTCCCATGGAGGGCATTTCATAATTCGGAGGTCTCCTACGGAAGCTGCTCTCACCTAGTGTTGGGGGCAGCCTACTATATTACCTCCCCCTTACCCCATTACATATGGGAACAAGGGACATCCATTTCTCTTTAAAAAAAAGGCGCTATTGGATACTTATATGGAAGAAAGCCCGCTTACCCTCTTGAGATTTTCATTCTCCTTTGTTAAATTGGTAACTTTCAGGGTCAACTTTTGGCAGAGAGCCTGAATAAAAAAGTTAGCCATAAATAAGTTCTCAATGGTAGTTAGCCGTATATCAAATAGCACATGTTGACCCCGGGAAATGAAGACAAATCATTATTGCTATTAAGCATCCAACGTAAAATATAACTGCAGATAGGTAGAGGCGCCGAAATGGAAGATAAGATCAGATGAAACCTAATACTTAATAGATGTGGAATTACACAACTTAACAATATCCGTTTAGGAAACATCTAGTTGTTACAATGCATGATTCCACTAGAGATGTTTTAAAGAACCAAGTATGGACTCAAATATAGATAATAGAGATATGGTACAAGGTACACATCTTGGGTCTGTTTTTTTAGAGCCTAAGATCTTAGGACAATAAGAAAGCATAACATTTGTACAAGTAACCATATGCCTAAACTGGTGTAGAGCAGAGAGGACAAGGATTAATATATAAAGGTCCTGTCCAACAAAAGTAATTAATGCATTTTAAGGAATCCATCATAAAATAACTGAAGCATACTAAAATAGAATAAGGACTTATTTTCTATTAATTGTATATTATTCACTATATGTTTACTGTTTGGAAAATACCATGTCATATGGGTTTAAGAATCGAAGTTTAGAACTTTTCCTTTTGTTAAATACACAATCCTGACAGATCCCAGTGATGATTTACTGATTTGTAGAAGAGTATTTGTTAAAACTGTAAACAAGGGTAAGGTTGCCAGCAATGTTATTATTTACACTAACATTGAAGTCGCTGACCGAGATGGTATCATGCAAGGGAGGAAGATAATGGCGCCAGAGGGCATCCCTCCCTCCAAAATTTTCAAAATTAACATTTAGCCCATCAAAAAATTAAAAAAATTACTTTGACCCCTTCAAGATTTTTAAAATTCTCATTAAATTTCAATTTGTTTTAATAGTTTCATCAAGTCCTCTCCAAAAAAATTTAATTTTCTCATTAAATGGCTCAAAATTTTAAGTAGCCCCTCAAAACTGTTTTGCCAAGATCCTCCAATGGTGTCATGAGTTTACCAAACACCAACTTAGCCGCTATGATTACTTAAAACCTAAAATTAAACTACAATAAAAATAAATAAATTAGCGATATTTATAATTATGCAATCATTTTTTAAATTAAAAAAATCTTTTTTTACTCATTTAAGAAAAACTACTTTATTCAAAAAATAATAATAATAATAGCAATAATAATAATAATAATAAATACTTTATTAAAAAAAACTACTTACCCGTCCAATAACTTCCTTTAGAAAAAACTTTTTAAATTTTTTTAACTATTATTTCTTTTGACATGTATGACGGGTATGTCGAAATCTAGCAAGTTAATGCCGTATCATAAGAACAAAGCAATATCACTATGCATTAAATGACAACCAAATATAAATGACTTAACACTAACTAACTATTCACTCGATTGTTAGAAACAAAAGTAATCAAAATATGTACAATAAAAAGATGAAATGTAGTTAACTATCAATATGATTGTGCCTCAAAGCTGAGGTTTTGACTTAGACGAAATAACAGGAAACTGGAAATGGATAACGCTTTCCTCAAAATATCTTTCAGATAAAAGATTTATGGTCAAAGCAAGAAAAAGATGCCAGTAACATAAAAATGAAGATTGACAACCATGTAATGTAACACAAAAATCCTAATGCTAACATAAAACCTAAACATGAAATAAAATAATTACCTTCCTTCGGTGAATCGTTTGTCTAGCTGACTCTCTGTTTGCTAATATTCTACGTAACCTTCGTTCTTCCTTTTCAGCCTGATGGAGAAAGATTCAGTTGAAATCTAAGGAACAGTCATTTAAGCAAAAAAGTTTTTTTTTTTATTTTAAAATAGTCATTCTACCTCGGTTAAATTCTGTCTTGACCTTCCCACACCACCTGACACGTGATTTGTTGCACTTGTAGGACTTGATTTCACATATTCAGGATTCTGTTCAATCTTTACTGGTTTTATGAGAGCATTATTCCCTTTTATTTCATCCAGAGGACTATCCTCCCAAATATCTTTCTCCATCATTCTCACAGTGCTGAATAATATCTATAAATAAAATGAAGTACAGGTAGACTGAAAAAACCTGAAAGTAAACATATAAATCAAGAATTTAGTAATATCAGAAACTCAGCTGACCGGCTGTTCATGAATCATCTGCCAACCAGACTCCTTATTTGTTAGCATTGTATGCAAGCTACATGTTTCTTTTTCAACCTGATCAAAAGAAGATTCAGTCAAAATTAGGAGCATTTAAAAAGCACAACAGTAAATCAAAGAAGTCTACCTCAGTTACATTCTGTCTCAACCTCACCACCCCATTGGATGTGCATCTTTCAGTACAAGGATGACTCCCGTGAAGCGACTCAGCTTCTACCGACTCAATAACTACAGATGTGCTCATCACTGGACTTTGCTCCTGGTCCACTACAGCTTGATCCTGCCATAAACAAAAACAATTTCAAGTGCTGCATAAAATAGTGACTCTCAATTGGTGATTAATAAAAAGTAGTGCCGCTTGATGATAGATCACTAGACGAAGTCCAATTAAGATACAATTTTTCTAGCTAATCACATCTCTAAACGAGTATTAGTTGTGTGACCTTGACTTGGAATTTTTTTTTTTTTTTATTAATCCGGGTAAGTACAAGACAATATATATTCATAGATAATTCTCCACCATTTGACATTGAAGGTTCACACCCAAACATTCCTGTTGCTTGAACATGAGACCTTAATAAATAACAACAGTTCCTTTACCAATAGATGGCTTGATTCGTGCTGATCAGCAGCTTCTTACTAGTTCATCAATGTTCCTTTTTTTTCCATATTTTCTTTAATTCCTTCTAATCCCAGGAATAGAAAAATGAAATAAAAGCTGACCAAAAAAGAATTAGTCTTCAACCTGTAGATATTTGTTACTATTATATTTAATCATGTTTAACATACTAGCATCGGGATGATCAAGAATTTAACAGGTTCTAATAAAATCAATAAGTTATTTGAGTGCTTATATTTCATTAACTAAAGAAACAGTAAATTTCTTTTTCGTACTCTAATTCAAAACGACCTTTCCAACATTTACAATACAGAACTATTTTTATCAAATGAAATTCAAGTATTATGAGGAGAGAAGAAGTTTCGAAACATTGAATAGAACCACGAAAGAACCTTTTTTATAATTTGGCATTTATTATTTCTACATTCTCAATAATGTGAATTATGTTAAAAAGGTAATTTGAATTACTAATTCCGGGCAGACAGTGAATGGAAGTGGAAACATGTAAATAGACGGAAGAAATCGACGAAATAGAACAATTCAGCGGTTGAAACCCAACCTCAGCGAGAACCGGGTTCGAACCAATGCCAGAAGGCAGTGACTCATCACCACTAGTAACGACTCGCTTCCTCACTCGCCTCCCTTTGCATCCCCATTTGGCTCCAAATTCCCCGGAGAAGGCAGTGGCAGCAGCAGCCCACTCATTCGAATGTGCCAAGGCGGCCAATATCTCCGCCGCTTCCACATCCATCCGATCCACAGCCACCGCATCCTCCGCCGCCGAAGCCAACGAACTCGAAGATAGACCTCCCTCTAAGTCCATCCAAAAGAAGAAAAAGAAAACAAAATTTTCAAAATTTTAAAGGGAAAAAGAAAATAAAAAAGAGAGCAAAACAGAAAACATTTCAACTTCTTTGTAAGGAACCGGGAAAGAGAAGGGGTCTCTTACAAGTCCCTGCGGCGCCTTGAGGATGCATCTGGGAGTGCCACGTACAACTTTTTTTATGCAACGTAGACGATCTAATAACTCGTGTGCGGGTCCGGCACGTGCGAGTGAAGGGAGATAATAAAGGAGCAGAAATTGGGATCTGACACGTGGATAGAGTGACGGATCATCACGTGTGGATTTTTCATTTGTGGTTCTACGTGGAAACGGGAGGACCAGATATAACAATGAGCCCCACTATTTTTTCCTTTTATTTCAATGTGATTTTTTAGTTTTATCAATCGAATTATTTTATTATTTATCTTTAATATTTAATAAAAATGATGATGTAATAATTAACAGAATTTATATAATTATATATTTAATATTTAATACTTACATATTAATTTGATCCTCAATACTTTAATATAAAATATATACGTAAAATATATATACTATTGTGTATCGTATATGCCACATGTTAAGCTTGACTCAATGGCAAAGGGCCAAAGGCACGCACAATATAACACCTTGCACCTATGGAAGAAAAAATAATTAAATTAAATAAATATAAATTATAAAAAAATCTTTAATCATATGGTGACTAGAGATCAATATGGGTCGGGTTTCGGTCTACTCGAACAGATATAAAAATATATATGTTTCACCCGAAATTCGAATCAACCCAAGTTTAGGAGTGAATTCACTGACTCAATCCCGATCCCATTTTTTATATAAAACCCGACCCCAAATTGAAATAAATATATACATATATATCATTTTTTAATCAATAAATACAGAGATCTAATTAAAAATAATATATATATATAGGGTTATTATTACAATTATCCCTAAATATAAGGTAAATTTAAATTATTTTTCGGGTCGGGTATCTTTCACCCTAAACTCGAACTTGACCCTACACGAACATATCATATGAAAAAACCTGACCCGACCCGAACCTGAATTTTTTTAAAGAAAATCTAACTCACATGTTCGGATCTCGTGCTCATCCCTAATTGTGACACATGCCACCACCTAATTAGATGTTTAAATTTATAAAATTAATTTAAATTGGGAGCAAAATGATTAATATATATATGTGAGGACCAAATGTATAATTATATCAATTTTGTTAATTGCCACATCATCATTTTCGATAAATGTTAACGACAATTGGTTTGATATTATCTAATTTTTTATTTTAGTAGGGTAAAATACTTAAATAGTCACTCAAGCTTAGTAAACTTATACTTTGGTTGCTATAAGAATTTATAGTTTAGTCACCACCATTTGACCAATTATACTTTTAGTCACCCAACCATTAAACTTTGATGGTAGGTGACAAGATAATAGATTTAATCTCAACCATACATATTTTCATAATTTAAAAATAAAAGTTAAACTTTAAGGATTAAACTGATTTTCTCAAATGATTTTTTATTAATATGGGGTAAGTATGAGATAATATTTGTTCAAAGATAACTCTCAACCATTTAATATTGAACGCTTACACCTTTGATATTTATGGTGCTCGAACTCAGGACCTCAAATAATAACAACTGAAATCGCTCGATTTATGCTTCTCCAATGATTCTAGGCAAACAACAATATCATGTTATTAAATGAATACAGACCAACCAATCAAACTAGATCATAGAATGTTCTGTTGTAAAATAACATCCAGCTCTCTCGGAGGCGACAAGAATTCCTGGATCCCCAGCGGATTCCCACGGCTAAGTGCAGGCAAGCGATCAGCAGCATTGTTCTGTTCGCGACAGATATGGCGCATCTTTATGGACCAATCCCGCTTCCTTAACTCGAACAAAGCATCCACCAGGAATTACCACGAAGTGCATCCGAAGCATTAAACCAGATTTTAGGTACCTCGAGGTTATCCGTTTCCATCTCTATCTGTCGATACCCAAGCTTCCAAGCATAAGAGAGGGTATCATGTACAGCCCAAAGCTCCACAATTAGCACGGAGCATCTGCCCAAACTACGAGTGAAACCAAAGATCCAATCTCCATTACAGTCCCGCAATAAGCCTCCCGCCGCTACCATACTATCATTGACCGGACAGCCCCATCGGAGTTAGCTTTGATCCATCCAATCATTGGCTTCAACCAAACCTTGGGGGGAATGTTCACACTTGGTTCACTTCTGCCTGCTGGAATATTGGCCTGGAGAGCCTCCTCGGTCAGCCGGTTACACCTAGAAATAATGTCCTCCCTCATGCAAAACTCCGGGTTAAAAATCTTGTTGCAACGATCCTTCCACAGCAGCCAACAAATGATACTAAGCCTCACAGGCCAGTTATTAACAGGAGAAGCATAACTACCAGTGACTAATATTCTGTTCGATCCAATCCTCAAAAGGGTGAGAAAGAAAGCTATGTAAAATATCAGATGAGATAGTTTTGTTCCAAACCTCTCTCGCTTCAGAACATCAACGTAATACGTGGTCCAAATCCTCCGTGCCTCCATTGCATAGTGAGCACCCATCCATAGTTGACAAATGACTGCGTGAGCGCTCGGCATGCATGAGGAGCCGATCGTGCAAAGCAAGCCTGCGGCACCTCCAATTTCCAGACCACGACCCACGGTTTTGAATTCTCTCCCGTCTCATAATTCGCAATGTAACTATAAGCCGAGCTGGCAGAGAAGCGTCTTTCGGGTTCCCATCGCCATCCCGGGACATCAGGCCTAGATGGCATCTAGGCGGCTGTACCGTAGCTATACGCTGAACAATATGATCTAGCAAAACTTCCGAAAGTAATTCCCAATTCCATGCACCAGACGGGGGTATCATCTCACACACCGGTAAAGGGCTCGGGTTACCTCCCCCCGTATAAGAAAACACCAGTCGATTCTCATTTTCTAACCTATGATCATACCAAAAATCAGTGTCTTTTCCATCCCGGATATTCCACGTAATACTCTCTGTAAAATCATGCCAGATGAACTAAATACCCCGCCATAATATAGAGTCGCTTGAATTTGAAAGAGTAACCGGGAAAGGCTCCTCCCACTTATATCTCGCACGAACGGTTTGAACCCATAATTTATCCGGTTGAGAGATTAGTTGAAAAGCGACTTTCATCAGAAAACGCCTGGTTCTGCTTGCATAAATTGTGCAGCCCCAGACCATACTTCTTCATACCACGTAGCACCGTCTCCCATTTAACAAAAGGAATACCACCATTACCCTGATGATCGCCCCAAACAAATTTTCGGATTAGTTTTTCCATTTCCTCATAAATCCCCTTAGGAATCCAAGCAGCCTGCATAACATAGACAGGGATGGCCTGAAGCAGTATTTCCTTGATTTTCCTTGATTTTTGCAATCGCAATGGCCTAATTGGTGCTTTGTTATGAACATTAATATTTGGAATAATATGAATTAAACGACCTCGGTAAATGAATTGTTGTTATTCTTTGAGGTCTCGATTTGAGCACCATAAATTCTAGGAGTGTTTAGCGTTTAATATCAAATGGTTGAAAGTTATCTTTGAATACATACTGATGAGGTTGGGACATTTTATTGGGAAATTTTTGGTTTCGGATCGGGACAACTTATATAGTATATAACTTCGGGACTCGGGAGGGGATGAGGTTGGGCTTAAGGGGGAAAATCACCAACCAAACTCGGCCTGGTTATATATATATATATTTAATATTTTAAAATTTTTGTATTTTTATATTATTAAAATATAATATTTAATTATTAAAAATATAAAAATTATTATAAAATATATTACTTTAACTTATTAAAACGTAAAAAATAATTATAAATTTATTATTATAAAATATATTATTTTAATTATTTTAAAATATTATTATATTCGGATTGAGTCGAGTTAGAGTGGATTTTAATTTAAAAATTGGGATGGAAAAAAAACCTAAAAGTCATCCAGACTGGACAGGTCAGATTTTAGCTATATACTTTCGGGATAGGATTGGGGCTGCCAAAAAAACCGGCCCACCCTGCTCCGTGACCATCCCTATGTTGACTCTCCTTTAGCCTTTACAAGCTTCAATATGGCTGCTGATTTTAGTTCCTTAGTTGTTGGAGCCTTTCGCTGTATAGGTTATGGTTGCTTGTCTACTGAGGCTGTGTATCTGCACTATAGCAGACTTGCGCTTGTCCTTGAAGGTCCATGGTGGTACCTGGATAGGAGTTTGCATATGTTTCCTATTCGCAGTTAATAGCTATTCTATGGTTTGAGCGGGAATTCAAATTGCGGTCGTATTTTTGAAGGGTGTTATTACCGTTATATGGAGGGTATAGTAGACGGTATTACGGTGATTACGAGTGTCACGATCAAATAATAACATTTTGGAAGACACCGTTACCGCTATATCATAGGCGCTATAAAAATCGCAAACCGCTATTTAAATCCCTGATTTTAAGATACAATACTTGAGAAAAACAACTAAGAACTTTACGATTTTGTGTTTGTTTTATTATTGTAGGGCCCTATGTGAGTTTTTCTATTTCTATTATTAGTTGTGTAACTTAATTTTGGGTAAATTACATATTTAGTCACCCACTATTATTGTAGTTCCGTTTTGGTCACTTAACTATTTTTTTATTCAAAATAATACCTAAAGTTCTGTTTTAGCCATTCGCCTTTAAAAAAAATAAACAGAACCGCTGATGTGTTAGTTTCTTTTATTTTTTCAATGATCTTGCATCATCTTATGATGACACATCAATATCATCGTTAGTTTTTAACAGCGGGTAATCAAAGCGTATCTTATGATCTTGCATCATCTAACGATTCTCATTGTTACTGCACTGTTTTATGCCCAGAATATGTTTGAAAAACACTGTCAATATTTTAACCAGGTATGCACAATACAAAAGAATGCGCGCTGACATTGACAAGTATGAAGGTGGCTTGGAGGTGTTTTCTCGCGGCTATGAGAAGCTCGGCTTCATTCGCAGGTTACCGATCTGACCAATTCCTAGTTGTGTCAGCAGGGGCATTCCCATAGCTAAATAGTGTTGCATATTGGTTGTAG